ATTCAGAGATCTCATTGAGAATTTGCTTGGCATCCATCTTCCCAGAGTCGACTCTTTGCTCTTTAAATTATTAAGGCTTGAAGAAGTTTTTGTCCAATAATGCTTTTGTAACTCGATTTTGTATACGGAAAATTTAGAATTGTAATTTATTCTGGCCATTTAAGCTGCAATTAAATTTCTATTTTGCAATTAAATTTCTATTTTGCTTGACCTATTCTTTGATCTTGAAGTTAAAATTCCTCGACTTATCGAACTAATTGTACATATAAATTTATTGAACATACTCCAAAAGTACCATTTAATCCTAAGTAGAAATGAAAGTAAGAAGTAAAATCTGATGTCTGAAATGTTCAAGGTCGGATCTTTATATTTTCTCTCCTTGTTCATTTCTTATTCTTTATCATTACCTCGTTTCAATTTTACCAAATAGTTTTTTTTCTCTCCTTCGAAAGCATGTCTTTCGTCGCGTTTATCCACAATATCTATCATCTTTTCATTTCAAATTTTCTCATCTTATTCGTCATTTCTCATTTGAATTTTCTTTTCTCTCGTTCATCATTCTTCACTTTCTATTTCTTCGAATTTCGTGGATCCGCTTGTCAGTTTCTCCACGTCTCTCCTTCTCTCTTCCGCACTCTCTCGAGTCTCTTATGACTTTCTCCTTCACTGCGACGCGCCAATGGCAAATTGCGAGGCTTATTAAATTGTAACAATTTTAATTAGAGAAGTAGCGCGCACCAGCTTGTTTCTCCTCTTGTTCGTTCTGCTGGTTCTCGTCGAAGAAGGACAGAGTGAAAGGGTGGTTGAACCTTGCGGCAACCGGGAAGACGCGTCGGTTAAGACGCCCCTTACTTTCCTTTTAAAAGTTAGCGCCACGTGCTCGAACATGGTCCTCTTTTATTTATCGAATGGCTGCTGTTGCTACTCGGGGGCCATTCGTTGCACGCGGTGCCTTTTGCTTTCTCGTTTGATCAGCGAAACTTCCGCGACTTCCGTTAACGAACCACCGTCTTCGATGGCAGATGAAATTGATCGATTTAAACCGATCTGTGACCTACCAGGACAGACAGCTAAGAAAGATCGAAATTGTCTAAGATTAATCGAGAGGCTCAGAGGAAAAGTGGAAAACTGTTAACAAAATTTATAATTTTAATGCAGTTTCTAGTATAGGGATACTATACTCCTGAATATTTGGAAAAGCATATTTTATTCGAATGATAACTTGCGTTTGAGGACGATTGAGTTTGGGTTAACGACATTGATTGGCGACTAAATAAATAAAATCTCGCTTCCTTTTATTTTTAATCCTTTTGGTATTACGTTCATAGGCTATGATGCGTTTATTTTTTTGGACGCATACATGCTATGCCTATAATATTCAAAAATATCTTATGCGTATTACAAATTTTTTTTTATCTGATTAAAAATTGGGAAAGTATTCTATTACTTATTGTATATATAATATTAATTAGCTACATTAATCAGGCTTTTAGTATAGAAATTATTTTATTTTACACAGATTTTATCATTTTTTTTAAAGTGAACAATATCACACGATCACACGCGTATCTTTTAAGCTTCTATTTATATATAATTAAGCAAGTATTAATTTGCCACTTAAAGATACAGTAGACAGTTTTTATTTCGAAGATAATCGTGCCGCAACGTTAGAATTATCGATGAAGAACAATTTACCAGGCCGTCTTTTAGTTGTTACGGTAATTCATATTCTACTATACCTACACAGTAATTAAGTATTTAAAATGTTACCAAGTCGTAAATTATGTACGGTTCTTGTCGGTAACTATTCATTAATTTGAAATACACATACATCGTATTCATTATATCCGTACATTTTAAAACTTTTGCGGTAAATATATGCATATCATGTAAAATAATTAATAATTCATAAATAACAAGCAACATGTATACATAGACAATTGTACAATATGTACAATGCATAAATAATTAATTGAATGGTTATGAAAAATCTGCAATTAAATATCTTCGGTCATTATTAATTTCAGATTGAATTTACGGCTCAACGATAATTTCATATTCAATTTATGAATTTATACGGTCGGCATTGTGCAATCACGATGGTTACATTATTTGTCACCTATAATTTGCTACCATAAGTTTTGCAACTATAATGAGCTCGTGATTCGCGGACATCGAAATAGAGGACGCCACATAAATGTTTATAGCAGCTATGTTTGATAATTGGACGACAATTTTCGTTATTCTCGAAAGAAGCTCGTATGATTACAACACAGATAAGAGATGTAGATCTCACTTGAGAATTAACATTTTATTTGCATTAAGACTTACGTGTAAACTCTAATCGATTGATTTTTCTCAACTTTGTATATTTTCAATCAAACTTTGCTCATCAAACAGCGTGTAACGATCCGTTATCACTTCGCTTTGATCATATTTTCGAGAATAGTTATCGATTAGAAAAGACTTTTATATTTTATGGTGCTATCTAATATTAATGTGCATAGTTAAATAATTATTGACGACACGTAAGATATAAATATAGTGCGAACAATACTACTGAATATTATACTTCAAACATAAAGTTCAAAAAATTAAAATTAAACAAATTAAAAATAATTAAATTAACTAATTAAAAAGAAAAACTGTGTGCATTCGAACGTTTTCTTGATTCTCATCGCAAAATGTTAAATCGAAGACAATATCTTCACCGACACAAAAGTGACCCAAAATTTTTCTTGTCCTAATTGCTTAATGAAACTTTTTTGTCAACGTTAACAGAGTTCATTATCTATTTAACGATTAAATTTTATAATGACACTACTCATCAATTAGTGATTGACATCAATCAATTAAAATAATCTTATCAGATTGAACAAGTTAGATTTATCGTGGTATATAACGGGCAAAAAAAAAAAATTAACTTAAGAATTCTATCAAGCTTAGCCCACAAGAGAAAGTCGACGTTTCAAATTGTAAGTATTGCACAATTTTAATTATGATTGCGAATCATTTGTAATTCGATAATTAATTGTTATTCTAATTATTAGGACAATTCGCGTGTCATTCTAAAATTAATTAAAAGTTTTATATTCCTACGTCGTATATATTATGCATACGCGAACTAGCCTCTGTTAATCGCCAAATTGTATAAATTCCATTAACGATACACTGTATAAATGATAATTCCGCAATGATCGAGAAACGTTATCTCATTTCAACGAGTTGAGATCACCCCCATTCTTTCTTTTTCTTGTTTTCTTTTTCTCGCAACTTATCGCAATTTTCAGATGAGGTTCGCTCTCGCAATCGCGGCCATCTTGGCCACAGCCAGCCATCTTAACGCCTACGAGCTGCCAAAAGTTGGTTCAGGTGCCCTGGCCAGGGAACTGCAAGATTTCATAAACTTATTTCCTATCGATGACGTACTCGAGTACACGAGAGTGTATTTGTCCAGAGACAAAGAGTTCCAATGGGCTTTGAATTTCATGCAAAACGAAGAGATGAAGGCGTTCCTTAACGACGTGGAATCTTCGCCTGAATTCGCAACCTTGATGGAATATCTGGTAGAGAATGGTCTCGACGGTTACGCTTTATTCAACACCGTGAAAGAAGTGATGGAGGGACAACTTGCGATAGAGAACGTGCACTCGAACCTGAGAATTATCGGAGGACTTGCAGGTTACGTCGCAGACGCCACCACCGCCGCGCTTCTGACCAACATGCAGAACTTGTTCGAAAATAAAGTCGCGACTTCCAAAGTGTTCAAAAACTTCGTCAGAGAGATCTTATCTGGCCGATACGACAAACTTTTCACAAGCACGTTTACAAATACTCATTTCCAGAGAGTGTTACATCAACTTCACTATCTCCAACTCGACGACGAAACGTTCCACGCGAACTTCTACTTACTTTTCATTGCCAAAGCATTGGCCAACGTACATAATTAAACTTACGAACAAGAACATGCCTATAGATCTTCTGCGTATGAAACTCGCAATCACACTTCAAGCAAGTTCTAAATCGCAAACTGCAAGAGTAATATTTAATATTTAATACATACTGGATCAATTAAGGAACAGCGTTCTTTCTTCCCTTTCTCTTTCTCCTTTTTATAGTTTTACATCGTGTAGATATTAAGTATTTTAATACAATGGTAAAATATTAAATACGCGTGTTTGGAAAGGAAGGAATATTTAAAAGTTATTGAATTAAGGTTTTATCTTTACGTGAAATTTTGAATAGTTTCTCCAGCGAATTCGTCGCTTTTTCAGCGGGAAACTTGTGTAAGAATTGTTTATAAATTAAAATTATTCAACTTCGCGTTATTAATTTACAATCCTTAAAGAATGTTACATCACAGTTCGGAACTGCGGGGCATTATCTGCGATTATCTTTCGTATCGGTACAATCAATATTATAGCGGCAAGCAATGTAATTAATTGTCTTATCAAACGTCTGATAATCGAAGTAACAAAACCAAATCTACAAACGTTATAGAAAAACAATTTACAATAGTTACAGTCACTTTTAATTTATTCATTTAATTCCAAATAATTCAATTAATTTTCGATCGCAGCAAAGTAAGAAAGAGAAAATTAGAATTTCTTTACGTTTCTCGACATATGAACTGGAACATGTAAAAATGAATTTCTATAGAAAATATGAATACATATATTGACGCGTTATATTTTCATGGGATTCAGATTTATTTCACGATGTATGTAACGATCACATTTAGAGATCGTTCATGCAACAGAATGTAACAGCTCGTTTTCATAAATTTACATCGGAACATTGGAAAAATTGTTATAAATCATGGTAATGTGAATCAATCTGAACATTTTTTAACGCACGCATATTCGTCATCTATCATGGAAAATGTAGAAACCTATTAGTCACGTACATATCAATTGTTAATCATTCTCAAATTTATCACCTTTTGTTTATTTAATACGATTATATTAGGATTATATAATTCTATGAAAACTTCTATTGAATGAATCATACAAAAATTATGCTTTGCATGTACAGTATAAAATGATAATCAGAGATAAACGCACTATTGTGACACACGTGAATGATGATGGATCACGACTCTTGAAGAGCCTCGTGTAATATTATATAATTAATAAATCTATTCATTTTTGACAATAGATAACGAATGTGTGTACATTTTATATTAGTTTTTTATATTGGCATTTTTTGCATGAAACCTTAGCTATATCTCTAAGTAATGATTTTCTTTAAAAAAGAAAAATCGCATCATTTGCACGAGTTCACGTCACGTTATGACATGATAGCGAAAAATTTCTTCGACGCAGAAAATCTTGTAACCATTCAACTAACAAGCTCCTTGTAACTTGTAGTAAGTTTGTAGGTTAGAGGAATGGTCACAAATGAGTTCCAATGATTTAGAAAAAAGATGAGCACATAAATTTGTATCCCTATACAAT